CACCTGAAAAAGCCATTGTCGAAGAAAAAACTCTACCCGGTTTTGAGAAGGGAAACAATGAAGCCCTTGATGAAGTTTACTACCACTGATGTGACTGTTGCCGATAATACGACATTTCCTGATGGAGCAAATGAACCCCACATTTAATTAGGTTATTGTTAATTATCTATTGGTTTAATGTGAGTGGCTATTGTTCGGGATGAACAATACTAAGGAAGGGGCAGTGTTACGACAGCGGAAGTCACGTGACGGTGGCAACACGTCATGAGATTCTCGAAGGATCTTGACTTTTCCTGGCAACTCTAGTCTATTCTAGGCGCCCTCTTTTTTTATATAAGCCCGGCAAATAAAGCGGAGATAATTGCAGATAGATAGGTATAGAAACAGTTAATTGAGTCAAGCGAGCGGTAGTGACGGTAGTGTGTGTTTTGTTATCGAGATTGCAAAAGTTGTATCGAGAAAGAATAAACTAGTTTCAATTAAGAAAGGACTTGTATCGCTGAAGTTTCTCGGAAAGAATTTATACGGGAAATTAACAAACAAGCAGATAAGCAACAGTATTATTTTAATTTTCAATGAATTTTTTTTTATAATTATTTCATGTGTTGAGTAACTTTCAGTCTTCCTCTTGTACAGATCATATATACCATGACAATTCTAGATTTGTTGTTTGTTGTGTTGTGAAGTGAAATAGTTCTTGCACAAAGTCGGTTATATAAACTTAATCCACCTTCAGCATTGGAAATAGTTTTAGCACCAAGTAATCAAAATAAAGTAAAATAAATGATATATTTTTAGCTGAAGACTTTAGCAACTGAACTAGATATTAGAAAAAAAACTAGTCCTAGTAAGGAAAGTTGATAGAAAACAAGTATTTTCATTGAAAGTATACAATATTAAAATATGGCAGTGAAATCGGGTGTCTGTCATGTTGTTTAGTTTTCTATATAGCTGTGTTTCGTAATATTCTGATTAGGTACATGTTATGCCGTCATGCACATTTTGTTATTAAATACATACTCTTAAAAAGTATTAATTGAGCAATCAATGTTAATAGTTTAGAACATTTTAGTGACTTTAACTGTGAATAATTGCATAATTTTGTAACATTCGCCTTAAATTATATTTTTTATTTACAACAAGCAGAATACCTAAAGCCGCCCTGATGGCATGTTAAATCAAACATGTTTCCTCAGATGTTTTAGGCCTTGCATAGCCTTGTGGCTAGGGCTCTCGACTCGCAATTCAGAATCACGGGTTCGGATTCCATCCCCGAACATGCTTGCTCTTTCAGCCTTGAAGGCATTATAATATGACGGTCAATCCCACTATTTGCTGATAAAGAGTAGCCCAAGATTTGGCAATGGGTGTTGTTGACTAACGCCTTTCCTCTAGTCTAATAGATAGTCCTCGCGAAATTTAAAACAAACTTGTTTTAACAGTACACATTATATATTTCTTTTGTTTGGTTCATTTGCAGAGAAAACCACAGTGAGATAGAGAGACGTCGGAGGAACAAAATGACCGCCTACATCACGGAGCTCTCGGACATGGTGCCGACATGCAGCGCTCTTGCGCGAAAACCTGACAAGTTAACAATTCTTCGTATGGCAGTGGCTCATATGAAGACTCTTAGAGGTGAGACTTGTTTTTGTTTTAAAAGTTCCAAAGTGCTGTAAAATTTAAGATTCAGTATTGAAGCCTGTTTAAGGTGTTTTTCAGAACCGTGTTTGTTCATCTATCCTCAAACTGACATATGGTGTCAGATAAGTTGTTACTATATACTTTGTACGGTTTGTGCTGGTCATATGCGGTTGTGATTGAATTAAAGACACTTTTTTCAGATGCAGTCGGAAAACTACAATACAGGAATTGTTGTTTTGTTTTGTATGTGTTTGCGACAGATTATTTTTGTGATTTAGCTCAGAAGAAGGATGCCAGGTGTCCTATATTTTCAAATAAGTAAGTAGTTATTTTTTTCAGGTTCTTGGACAAGTAAAGCGCAAAAATCATACATTTGTATAAGAAATTGACATGTCACGAGAAAACTTTAATTTTCGTGTATTGATATGGAGTAATTTACACATTTAATTTCGAATATAATTTCAAATTGTATAAAATCTTGTTATGTTTTGTATCCCTGTAAGAAGGCTACGTCACAGCTCCGATGAGCTACCTGTCATTTATGTGGAGGATTCATGCTTACGCTAATGACGTTCATAGACGAATTGTACATTTCAGGCACATGGGCGCATTTTCGTTTTCCAAATCATTCTTGTTTGTTTGTAATTAAGCACAAAGCTACACAATGGGCTATCTGTGCTCTGCCCACCATGGGTATCGAAACCCGGATTCTAGCGTTGTAAGTCCGCAAACATACCGCTGTGCCACAGGGGGACCCAAATCATTCTTAGCAGCTGTGCTTGGGATACTTTGTACTAGTACCTGTGAGCCCTTTAATGCCTTAGCGGAAAGTATGAAGGCTTATAACGTTAAAAATAGGGATTCCATATCAGTGGTGGGTGCACTGTTAGTAACAAAAACAAACAAATATAAAGGTATTTGTAAATATAACTTTAAATTATGTGGTTGATATAATCATTCAGCTGATCCGTGGCTCAAAATTAGGGTTGGCAGAAGATAGCCGTAGTTGCTGTGTAAAAGTAACCCAAGGGACAGCTAGCTCAGATCTTTCTCTTGTAGCTTTGCGCAAGTATTCAAGAACAAACACATACTAAGTTTTTATTTGTAAAATACTCCCCGTGGTTGGCGCACGAACAAAAGAAAAACGTAAGATTGCTAATATATTAAGCTCGTTTCTTTACGGATTGGCCCGGCATGGCCAGGTGGTTAAGGCAC